AAATTGTTTCAGACGTATTTAATGAATAAATACTGAGTCAGAGCTAAACTAGTAAGAACCACTTTATGTTTAAAAACAATAAATAACAACTAATAGATAAGATTGATTAATCATCAAATAGCTGGCGTTGGCAGCAAAATTAAAGTGCTTTTGTCTTTGTAACTATTAACGTAGAAAACGTTACGTTGAGAACTAATGTGATTTTAAACACTTGTCAACATTTTATTATTTTTATGATATCTGGAAAATAACTGAGGTAACTATTATGTGCTGAAGGACGTCAAAGGTATCAATAAATGTACAAGTATATAAATCTATACTCTATACTAATATAATAAAGCGTAAACACACACTTCTTTATGGCGTAAGATGTCAGCAATCGCGATATATATTTAAATAGTTATTTCTTTGATAAAAAGCTCTATACTTACGACACGTTTTTGGCTATATATTTTCACATTATTAAACTTAGGAGGTAAATAAATTGGAAAAAATCCTTGTGTCAGAAAGGGACCATAAACTACAAGCTGTTAATGTTGGTAATTAAGAGAGCAAGGTTGTCATTTATGATTTGACATTTGAACTTTTTGAATAATTTTGACATTTGACAAACGTAGACAATAAAATAAATTTATTATAATTTTGTGCGGATGAAGTCGCATGAGAACAGCTAGTATATGATACAGAATAAGTAATCCGCGTCATAAGTGGCCGAGGCATGTTAAACACGTGATTTTACGACACGCCAATTAACCGGTAACACATTAATAATCTGCACATTACTTGAGACAATTTTTATTATGTACTGTATATTATCGCAGATAATACTGGCTTTAACTTCGGTCATTACATATGTCAATTAAAATTATCCATACATTATAATAAACAAATTCGAGTGTCTGTAATATGAAAAGAACAATTCCTGATCGCATTTAAAAATTTTTTGTCTGTGCATAAGCCACGGAACCCGGAACAAACCGGGTAATCTAAGAAACGGCTGAGACGATTTCGGCAGAACCTTCGACAGGACTAGGTAGCTGACACAGACAGGCATATTATAGCCTACTTTTTTTATCTTAATATTGCGTGGACGAAGTCGCGGGCAACAACTAGTATTATTATAAAATTAATGATTCCTTTACAAGGGTATATCATCTATGTCAATGCAATTCATTAATTAGGTTAATGAATCGAATCAATTAAATAACAGACAATAAAAATTGGCTTACTTTATATTATTGAAGAATGTATGAATCATACATGTCTGGCAGGCTTGACACGTTTTTTTTTGGTTATCTAAACTTATTGTTTCGTCGTTAACAATTTAAAGGAGTTGCAAATCTTTTCTCCAGTATCGTAACGTATTTTGAAAGCATAAACAATGTCCGCTCTATTTCGATAAGGTATAAATAGAGGGCAGCACTCGAGTTGTGCGTGACGATAAGTAGCAACTCACTAGCGCCACGAGAATCCGATACCGATACATACAAGCCATTACAATATAGAATATATGTAACTTGTAGCAGTTTACTGACCGCACTAATATAGAGATATCCATGAACTTGCTAGATTTTGTTGGCTTGTTCATACGTGACTTTGTTTACTTGTGTGAAACATAAAAACATAATATAAAAGGTACCTAAAATGGAGCAACAGCAGGAGACGGACAACGGAAAAGAGTAATAAATTAATTAAATATGAGAATCGCTGAGTTACACCTGCGAAATGTTATAAATGAATAGTATTATACTCATTGTTGCTGTGTCTCTCTGATTTGGCTGGTAAATAAATCAAATCGACCTTCGCAATGCGCAGACAATAAATCGCAAAATAGGATTCATCGTGTCGCCGCCTGCCAGCGCTAAGTGAATTAAGACAACTGGAAACAGAACAAAACTAAAGAAACTTGCACCTGTAATTTTGTTTTGTTTATTATTTAACGAAATGAGCAACTTCGAGTACCTTTTTCTTTGTCGTTATCCAACTCACAATGTCGTTCAATAGTACTAATCGGTCACTGAGGGATTTCCCTTTGTTGATTTAGTAAAAGATATGTTATGAAGTGAACAATCAATCACGTACGATAGTAAACGATAGCTTTACTTTGTATTAGTGGTTCACAATAATTCGCAAACGTCAGGTATCGCTGACAAACGCAATCCTGCAACATGCCCCGTGAATCATACGATAACAATAAATCTATTTTTATAAAACTTGCGCATTTAATTTCATGTCACTGGTGTTTACTTTTGTTTGTCTGTGACACATTAATACAGCGTGCAATGATTTCGTAACTGCAGGTTAAATTAAAATACAATTGACTCAAGTCTATCATCAATAATGTAAGATTCAATCGACTGTATTCCTACAGTGGAAGTTAATCTCGTTTCTTTGTTATTGCATCTAAATATGCGAATGTCTTGACTCAGTCTGTACCATAAATTTTCTAATCGCTTGTGTTAAGGCATAAAAATATCAGTATGTCCCGGCCTTACTCGTCTTATATGCTTGCAAACTGTTCTTATTATTCATTAACCCACAACCCTAGATTATACTAAACCAGTATGATTCCACAATAAAGCTTAACAAGCCCATTCAAGTATAACTTATTTATACCTAAGTCTCAAGCCCTACATATTTAAAGAGATTGCATGTTACTTCACTTTCTATTACGAAGTTGAGACAGAAGGAAGACGTGCCAAGCTTTGGCCTCTTGCGTGCAATTGGAATGATCAGGCGATGAATGAGAGGCGGGAGGCGTGTGTTGTACGTCATCTCGGATGTCATTATTGGGCGGAGTTCCCGGGCTGTTGTATGCAAAATACGGTATCACCATTTTATAAGATTGTAGGATTTTGTTTTATAGAAATGTTTTCGTAACTATTGTTAAAGATATTTACCCTAGTCTGTATGTAATGTACTTTTTTCTAATCAAATAAAAGATTAAATTCAATAGGAGTGAAAGCAAGGCTATCCAAAAATAACCAATAATCCATATGCACATTGTGTTGACAGCACTTATTCAAATAAAACTAAAACGTGTCACCTAATTATGGTCACACTATGTTCTACATATGCAAATTATAAAGGTTATCAGAGGTCCAAACAGTGCAGTGCAGTGTTTGTTTTTTCACATAAACATTTAAAAAACATGTTGCAAGTTAAACTATATTTTGGCCAAGCTGTGCTGTATAAATGTAATTATGAAATTAATATATAATTAAAAAAAAATCTACAGCTGAGTCGAAAAGTAGTGGTACATGATTGTTGTAATAAATACGTCATATTTCTAAGGGCCTGTCCCACCACTCGCTGATAGAGGCGCAGATTGCTTAAAAATGACGTCACCGTCAGATAAGGTTACAAATCCAATATTTTCATTACATATTTTACACGTTGGATTGTTATTAGACAATTAACATGTTGGTGGGACAGGACTTAAGAGTTTTAATAAGATAATTAAAAAATATCGCCTATCAATAACCAAAGTACAAATAAAGGTAATAAAACCGAACAAACCATTATTTTTTACATGCAAATTATAACGCAGGAGCACAAATTGTTTTTAAATAATTTTAAGACGATTAATACACGTATCCGAAATGATTGTCTATGCTTTATAGCTGTCAATGTCAATATTGATTTGATAAATTGATGTCATAAATGACAGTCGCGAATTTCTCTCTGCTGGATGAAGTTGTGGAAATTACCGGAGAAGTTAAAATCCATAATTTAACTTATTAAAACCGTGTAAACTTTACCAAACTTGTGTTAAAAGCCATAGTTAACTATGGACTCGGAAGATACTAGAGCGGAGGGCTGGAAATATTTAAATAAGCAGTTTTTCGGAGACGGTCAGTATGACTTCGATATTCTAATATTCAGTGGGAGAAAGGCGATTTTATGGCCAATTACATACGTGCAAGGACAAGTTATAATTTATTCGTTCTATATAATCTTCAATACCAATGTCGTGTAGTATTACTGCAGGCAAAATTGATTAAAAACTGCTTTGACTGCCAAATTCCTTGTATCCAATTTTTATTACACTATAATCATGTTTTGTATCTGCTTCTTTTTTTTTTAGGTTTACGATATTAAAATAATTTGTGTAAAGTCTCAAAGTCCGAAGTTTATTTGGCAATCAAATTAAATATGTACATTTATTATACTATTGATTGAAAAATCAATTTGGCCTTAATACTATCTTTTACCCTATCAGATAAGATCTAATAAATATATGTAATGTAGTAACATTAGTTTATATCTAATGCTATTATATCTTGAAGTTGTTATGTTTATGTAAAGACAGTAGATTAAATTATGTTTTTATATCAACTTTAATACTTTCAGAATGACATATATTAAATGTAGGTAATTAAGAATGGAGTTTATTTAGAATAATCAGAGAAAACACTTAAAATATCATGCATCATCTTCATCCTCCTAATCCTACTCCCGTGTGGTCGGCACAGCAGATTTATGTCCTCCAAATAACTCTATCATCCGTCATCTCAGTCATCACTTGATCAAGTCATCTCATTCTAGGTCTACCTCTACTGGTGTACCGCCACAATCATAACTAACATTCTCCTTGTAACATGCGATTCATCCCTCCTCAAAACACTTAAAATATCATTATTACTGATTATTTAGTTACTACATAGTCTAAAACTATGACTAAAGATATGTCTTGCTGTCTGTCTATCCCTATGTATGCTCAGATCTTTAAACTATGCAACTGTTTCTTATGCAGTTTTTAATAGATTTATAATTTTTTGCAAAGATATAGTTTGTTAAATTAATTAATTAATTTATTTATTTACACTTTGTACACAAGGAAAACAATCACAAAAATACATATTGAGCAATGGTTGTACAGTCGAGCATAACTCTAATATAGTTTTCTTACTGCTAACCGTTACAATACAAATTAGATATTTAGCAGGTAATGACGATGTGCAAAGTAAAATTAATGTAATCTCTGTTTTGTTTTCCAGGTGAACGTGCAAACTATGTAAACATTCCTCATGTGATTGCGATGGTGGGTCTGCCCGCTCGAGGCAAGACTTATATATCTAAGAAATTGTCACGGTACCTGAACTGGATAGGCATTAACACAAGGGGTGAGTTTTTATCTGTTCCCAGTCACCTTTGGTTGAAAGTCAACCACCCTACTGCTACATAGCTGAGTAAAGGCCTTATCCATTAAGCATAGCAAACTTAGGTTAAAAAAAATCATAACTTTCAAAGTTATGATTTTTTTTTTGATTGATGCTTATTATTGTGTATTTGTATGTTTTTTGTTGTTGTTTGTAAAACTTTCTTTTCCTCCGCCATTATTTTTGTCAACTGTGTTATTAAGTGTATGATGTTTGCCTTCTGAATGGATTAAATGACTTTATTGTTATATATACCATATATCTTTATTTCTTATTTTTTATACAATACATTTACATTACATTTGATATAAAAATAAAATAAAATATATTATATAAAAAATAGAGCACCACCGGCTGCGGAATCCGATGACTCAAGCAACCAGTGGTCAGGGCTGCAGAGACAGGAACCTCCTCACTATGCGTGCGGTTTCTAAAATAACCGCCTTTTGGATCGGGCACTTAATCCAACTGTCTAGCGAGAGCTTCTTGAGGTGTTGGTCGAAGCTCTTCGCTATTAGCCCGTGTACCGAAACGACTATTATTATTATTATTACTAATATTATAAACGCTAAAGTTTAGTTGGATGGATGGATGTTCGAGTTTGTAGTCTTAACTGCTGAATGGATCTCAAAGAAATTTAGCATAGATGTACCAGATAGTCTAAATAACTTACTTTTTGTATTTTTAATTCCATGTGGATGGAGGCATAGGCAAAACCTAGTAATTTGTAATAAAGAATTCTCTTTTTTTAAAGAAAAACAACTCTATGAACTTTTTTTTTTCATTTATTGGGGTAAAATAACAATAGCACAAGAAAAAAAAATACAGTAAAATTCAAAAGTGTCGAGTAGATGTGCCATCCACAACTTTACCATGTAGTAACTATAATAATAAAATAAATCTATACATAGGCTAAACATTTGAGTGGTACTTAATGATATATTAATATTAGTGATAATTCAAAGTTTTAATAATCTCTTTTTCAAGGTTATTTTTAATAACATGTTTTATATCTTTATCATTAAAATTAGTATTATAAGAATTGACAATTCGGTTAATTGGCGGCCGCAAGCCCGCATTAGTTCGAGAACAGTTTTTTGAAAAAAGTTTTGAAGAACTTCTCCACAATTATCTGTTCTACTTACTAAGCTTTTATTTTCTGGAGGAAGAAGTCTCGCTCTAGTTTCAAAGAAGCAAGTATTTAATATGTTAGAGAAGTATAGTTAAATTTTAATATGTAATAATTAATCTAATTGTAATGTATTGTACATAAGATGGATTTGCACAAGCCACTGATCTCTGTAGGAATGCATGAATATTTTGGCACACAAAATCCTATTTACAACTTCCTCTGGGTGCTATCTGTTGCCAAATAAACATGCATCTCAGAGTATACATAACACAAGTAAATAAATCCATCGCCATAATTCTCGTTCCTGATTACATTTATCTGAGCGAAGTTAGTTTTTGAGTTCCATGTGGAATTTAAAAAAAAATTAAAAATATAGCATAAGTAACTCACTGATGACATAGCTTTTTAATAGTGCAAGATTTCTTTTAATTAGTCCAGTAGTTTTTCAGTTATTTCAATACATACAAAAATCAAAATATTTCCTTATTATAATATTAGTCGAAGTCGCGAGCAACAGCTAGCTCCTTTATTTTGCTAGTTTTAGTAGAATATCTATACAAGGTTTGTTATGGAAACTTTTATCTATCAAAGTAAACCTATTGACATTTAGTGATAAAAAACGTACGCAGAAATAATATAACGCTCCTATCATGTTTACATTAATGTTTAGTATTAACAAGGTATGCTTAATTGGTTGTACCACTTGAACTATGATTTATAACTTAAATAGATGTTTTATATGTCTACTACCTTTTGCCCGCGACTCCGTCCATGTGGAATTAAAAGAAACAAAAGTGAGTAGCCAATGTGTTACCAGACTATCCACGACATCTATACAAAATTTCATCGAAATCCGTGCAGCTGTTTAGGCTACAAAGTCTAACATCCATCCATCCATCTAAACTTACGCATTTTAATATTAATAAGATAATCTAAGTCATAGGGTGGTTAAAATTACATTTGTTATTATATAAAACTAGCTTTTACCCGTGACTCCATTTAATTAAAAAAAAATAGCCAATGTGATCTTCCAGTACATGTCTATTAAATTTCAAGGAGATCCATTCAGCTGTTGGAGATATCTTCTAACAAACATCCAACAACTTTCACATTTATGATATAGTAGAATCTCAATAAGTTAAAGTCCAAGAAACACAAAATATTTTAAGATATAGAGGTTTTAAGTTATCTATGTTATAGAGGTTTTGGGCTCTGATAGGAAGGGAACATATTATTTTTTGAAGTTATAGATGTTTTTGAGTTATCGAGTTTCTACTGATTCATAACATGTTACAAAACAATCAAAGATGAAGTAATAAGTTTGTTGAGATTGTTGCAAGTAATTAAGTTACATAGATATTTAATTTTTCCTTCCTAGTTAAAAAGTGGATCTATTCTACCTCATAAAATATTTGTTTATCAATGTATGCTTTGCGTACAAGAGGAGGTATCTACGTGTGTATTATAATATCTTTGTAACATTTGTAGTATTCAATTTGGGTGAATACCGGCGGCATGCGACAACCGCGTACACGAGTCATGAGTTCTTCCGCGCTGACAACAAGGAGGCGATGGCGATACGACAGCAGTGCGCGCTGGACGCCCTGCACGATGTATGCGAGTGGCTCGTTAAAGGTGGAGAGGTCGCTGTAAGTTAAAAGCAACTAAAACATTACTCACACTCAGTGGAGAAATTGCTCCTATTTAGATTAATGGATGAAATATTTTTATGACGTTAAATTGAGTACTTTAAAGATTTCTTACGGCGAAAACTGCCACATTTAAATAGGTAACAGTGTCTCAAATGATAAGGCTACCCATCATCACCAGCTCACTATATGTCCCCCCCGAGGTGCTCGGAGCCTACCCTAATCAGGGGTGACTAGGCCGTAGTCAACCACGCTGGCCCACTGCGGGTTGGTTGACTTCACACATATCTTTGAATTTCTTCGCCGATATGTGCAGGTTTCATCACGATGTTTTCCTTCACCGTAAGAACGTCGGGTAAATTATGTACATATGAAAATTCGAAAAATCGAAAATCACATTGGTACATGACGGGATTCGAACCCAAGACCTGTAGATTACAAGTCAAGTGCTTAAACCACTGAGCCACCGACGCTCGTACCCAAAACCTACAAATTCCATTAAAATTATGACTCCTGTTGGATTGTGAGCGAAGCTTAAGAAGCGAAATGTTTAAGAAGAAGAAAGAAGCAAAGTTGAGATTGTGTTAGATTTGTTTTATTGGATGTTTAAGTTCTCTCATATATTTTATACATTAAAGGACTTTCTTAATGAGTTGAGAGTTGCATATAATTCTAAATATCAATTTTGGAACCTGTTTATCGCATCCCTTGTAGAGTAATTTCTCTATGAATTGTAGAGTAATTTCTCTATGAATTTGCGAGTAACTTTATCTATGTCTATGTGATGCAGGTGTTTGACGCAACTAATTCAACAATGGAACGGCGGCGGATGATTCGTGATATCGTTGTGAATAAAATGGGCTTCAAGTTATTCTTTGTGGAGAGTATTTGTGATGACCCAAGGATCATTGAACAGAACATTATGGTATGTATTTAAAAATTTATTATGTTCACTGTATAAACTCTTGTATTACAATGTTGCCATCTCTTTCATTCTATTTTATAAACATAGAGACAAAAAATATGATTTTATGATGCATGTCATAATAGTCAAATGTCAACAAAGGGGTTGGAGTATACCCATGTTATGATGAATAGTCCGGGAATCTTGATGGTACAGTCAGCTGCATTTGCTGCAAATTTTTTGTATGTATTGAAATAACTCAAAAACTACTAGGCCGTATTCAAAAAAATAATTTCACGCAGAAGAAGTCGCGAGCAGCAGGTAGTGTATATGCTTCCGATCATAAATAAATGCATATATGAGTCCATAGGTATTTTAAAACTTAAACCCTATAGAGTCTCTATTATGTACTCTTTAATGTATTCATATTTATGCAGCTAACTGTACAAAGCCAGTTGTTGAACATGTGTTCAAGTTATCTATGGTAATATTATAAAGAGGAAAGATTTGTAGTTTCCTAGTATTGGAATAACTTAAAAACTACTTTGCCGATTTCAAAAATTCTTTCACCATTACAAAGGTAATTTATCTGCAAGTAACAAAGGCTATATTTTTTCATTTTACGCTCGCGAATATTTAATATTCCAGGAAGTAAAAGTAAGCAGTCCGGACTACACAAACATACAGAATATGGACAATGTTCTTAACGACTTTTTACTCCGGATAGAGCATTACAAAGAGAAATATGAGCCGTTAGATGAGGCGCTGGAAGCAGAGTACAGTTTCATGAAAATATATGACACCGGGGAGAAGGTGGTCGTCCACAAACACGAAGGACATATACAAAGTCGTATTGTCTATTATTTAATGAATATTCATATAGTACCTAGGACTATATATTTGACCAGGGTAAGAACATTCGCTTATTTTTTTATTACGATACGAGCTGTTGCCCGCGACTTCGTCAGCGTGATATTAGAAAACATACAAATTTTTAAAAATAAATATTAAAAATTTAACAAATTCTTACACTATTAAAAATACACTTTCTCTGTGAGTTATGTCATACTTCATACTAATATTATAAATGTGAAAGTTTAGATGGATGGATAGGTTTTATTGGAGTTTGTTGCTTAAACGGCTGAACGGATTATGATGAACATTTTTTTTTATTTCCATGCGAACGGAGTCGCGAACAAGCTAGTGTTTACATGCGTACGAAGTCGCGAGCAACACCTAGAATGCTAAATTCAAGATTCTTAGACTAAAACCATTTAAACTTTCGCATTTATATTAGTGGGATAAATAAGATGAAGTATTTGTTTCCAGCACGGTGAGAGCATGCACAACTTGGTGGGCCGTATCGGGGGAGACAGTGAGCTGTCTGGGCGCGGGCGGCAGTACGCGGGCGCGCTCTCCACCTACATAGAGCAGCAGCAGATCCCCGGCCTGCGCGTCTGGACGTCGTGGATGAAGCGCGCCATACAGACGGTGCGGGATGTGCGCGCGCCGCAGGAAAGATGGAAGGCTCTCAACGAAATTGATGCGGTGAGTATGCTGCTTATGGTCAAATTGACCATATATTTTATTTGTCATGACATGGTACAATAATTGTTTAAACTGAATTTAGCAGTAACCTATCATTGATTGGTACTCATTTTGGATGACTGATATGACGTATGATAGAGTTATTTGGAGGACGAAAACCTGGTGCGCCGACTCTACTGGAGTAGGATAAGGTAGGGGAGATGGAAGAATACTCCCAGCGCCTTCTACAGAATTGCAGTATATGAAACTAAAAAGAATTACATATATAAAATAGGTTATCGATCTTTGACCTTGAAATGTGATAACCTCAATGACTTGTTATAAACTAGTTTGAACTGGATTTCCACAGCTAAGCAAGTGATATTAAATCGATAATATAGCTAACATATAGACCAGATATCTCTACTTTGATAACATCTATAATCTAAATATTTTTTTTAAAATAATGTGAAACTGTGAGGAATGTCTACAATACTTTGATTAAGTAGTAACCTTAGTTACATTAAAATCAGGGTATCTGCGAAGAGATGACGTACGCGGAGATCCAAGAGAAGTACCCTTCGGACTTCAACGCACGCGACGCTAACAAGTTCGCATACCGCTACCCTCGGGGTGAGAGCTACGAGGACCTGGTGGCGCGCCTCGAGCCCGTCATCATGGAGCTGGAGCGCCAGGGCAACGTGCTGGTCGTCTCCCATCAGGCCGTCATGCGCTGTCTGCTCGCCTACTTCCTAGACAAGTCTGCAGGTAAACTACACGTATTATTTTTTTACCCTTCGAACTTCGTGTTTTCTTATAGTCTTTTCAGTGCTGAACTTTGACCAACTTTTTAAATCTTTTATACCATAAAACTAATATTGCATCTTAGCAAATTCAATCAGCTGGACAAATATATAAACATGAGCTTTCGCCCGTTAACTTCTTTAGCGCGGAATTATAAAAATAGCCTATAATATACCCGTCTATATCAATTACCCTCTAGTGAAAGTGCCGTCAAAATTTCAATTTCCTAAAATTTGAATTTTAAACTTGGAAATAAGTGCAGATGTGAAGTTAGTTATTAAAGATGGCAGTCGTGTGAGCATAGAGTATAAAAATATTATTTGGCAAAGACTAAGTAACATCAACTTCCAGTGTTTGAAATCAAACAGTATCTATATATTTAAACTAGCTGTTCTAGTGCGGCTTCATCCGCATGTAATGTCAAAATTCAAATGCACAAATGACAATTACTTCCTTCATGTTGGCAGCAACTTATGGTCTCTTTCCAAAGTTTAATAGCGTGAAAATATATAGCCTAAAGCGTGACGTAAGTGTAGGGCTTTTTATTGAAAAAAGAAATATTAAAAAATGTACTGTAATTGCTGACATCTTAGGCAACAAAGAAGTGTGTGTTATGTGTTGTAAATGTAAATGTAAATAATAATAATGTAAATTTTTGGTGTATCAGAAGAACTGCCGTACCTGCACGTGCCGCTGCACACGGTGATCAAACTGACGCCGGTGGCGTACGGCTGCCGCGAGGAGCACGTCGCGCTGCCCGTCGCCGCCGTCGACACGCACCGCGCCAAGCCCGCGGTAACCACCCGCACACACACAAACACACAAATTCGAACCATACACACATTTGAAGTACTATCGGGTAATCACGCGATGTTCCACTTTAACACGTTAAATGGGTAACGAGGCCTAAACGTGGACGATGGATATCATTTCGGTCTAGTCCACTTAATATGCAAAAATTGGTCCCGCATCGAACGTGAAAATCTTGAACGTTTTGTACATATTGACATGATGTGGAACAATAATAGGACACAGCTTTCAAATGTGTCTACGAAATAAGAGTTCACGGCTAATTGATTTTTTTTTCTTATTATTTTCCCGTCGTTTGCGCAAATCATTGTTACCGAATTCATTTTTTTGTATAAGTCAGACTTTGTTATTATTTGTCTCGTTGCAAGGCATTTTTAGTGAAAGTGGAACACTGCAAATAGCCCTAACTGTACATTTGTTGCTGTTACGAAAATTTTAGTAAAATTTATGTTCTGACAAACCGTGTTATAAATAAATTAGGAGCTTTCTTAATGTTACAGTAATAGCTAAATTTATTTGTGATTTGGGTTATAGTAAAAAATACTAACATTTCATATAATCAATGTAACTAAATATGCACGATGTTCCTAACAGGATAAAGAAGAGGATGCCCCGACTGACAATACGTACGCACGGCTTAGTAATTACTGAACACAACTGCTGGCAACATTACTGCACCGTTTAGGACTAAACAAACATTATTATATACAAATTAGAGGGTACCTAGCACGAAAGTTCTCCAGACAGTTCGTAACATCAAGGATTGTATGAGATATGGCGGTGTTTACGCCTTCTAATACAATATTGTCGATGACGATGTTTTCTCAAGAATTTTCGTGCTAGGTCCCCTGTATAATGAAACTGGAAATATTTCCACAGCAAAAAAATGTCTTCAATACCCATACAATTTAAATTCTAATAATAAATTGATAAACAATCATAATGACAGAAATACATCAAAATTTGTTTTTTTTTTTATCTTTTCGTTAACTAACTGTTATTGCATACTTAACATTATGAATTTACATTTATACTACATAATTTTAGTTTTAAAACTAGAGAGCAGATAATTGCCACAAATGTCTACAGGTTTTGAGGTTAACACTAGAATGTTGCCAGCAGCAAAAAATCGTTTTGACAGCATTTATCATTAAATAAATAGAAGATATAAATATTTCAATAGCCAAATGAATATTCTCCAAGCGTAGTCTCAAAAGTTAAGTTCTTCCTTCCTTTTACTGGTGTTTGGGATCTTGGTGTTGGTTTGATTCTTCTATAAATTTACTGTATGGGTTTCTTAAAAAAACTATGACTCTGGGTTTTTACTGTCAAAAACGAGCAAAACACTGCCTTTTTCTCACATTATCTATGAAACAGCGATAGCAAAATAATGTTGCAACAGTAAAAATTCACGTCATAGTATTACGGATAGATTCAGTCTGTTATATTTAAAAAAAGAATGTATTCAATTAAACGGTGACAGATTTTACTTGTAAAATATCTGTTTGGAGTATAATGACTGTTCTTTCGGATATTTGGTGTGGATATTTCTTAATATAAAATCCATATATTCATAAAAAAACTAGTGTACATATTGTCTATTGTATTTATATATTGTTTTCTCATAATGAAACTTTTAAGATTTGTTTGCATTTTCTATAGCATTGTTATTTTCCAACAGGTGATCCCCGCCCCGCGCATCAAGCCGCCCGCCGCGCTCGTCAACGGCGACACGAATGGCGAACAAATCGTTGAAACTCCATCCCATTAACAAGTCGTAGCGAAATAACACAATTATATTCAAGCTTAATTTAATAAATACACATCCTAAGTTTGACAAAGATTAAAGAAGGCAGTGCATAATCTATGACTTGGTGGCAAAGATTAAAAATATCTGTGCATAATCTGTGACATGGCGTGTGTGGTATGGCGGCGAACTTGAGACTGATGTTAGTGAGTTTAGACATCTAAGTCATGTTATCGTGTATTTAAAATGAATAAATATGTAAAATATGAAATCAAATTTCATCTAAATTTAGTCCCTTTAATCTCGAAGCAGCGCCGAGTTGCAGTGGAAGGCTTTTTATTACAAAAATACGCGTTCATAGACAATTAAGAGCAATTGTTTTCTTAAATGACTTATAAGAAACTGTAAAATTTAAGAAAAATATTTGTTTTAAGTGTTATTCAATTTTATTTTACGGTTCAGAACAATTTCTTTAATAATTTTTACCCCATATTTTATTAATAAAAATCATTACAGCCCAATGTTGGTGCAATAAATACATGTACAATTTTTTTTTCATAATTTCTAAATAGTTTCTGTACTTTTAAGTACATTGTTGTTTCTAAGCTTTGTAATTTATTTATTGCTACAGATTGCTATTTTTATTTTAACGTGACAATTATTTTTTTCAGACATTGTGACTCGGCGCTCGTATATTTTTTTAGGGTGTCTCGTCTCTATTTTATTTACCTACGACCATTATAAATATAAATGTATTTAACTACTTATATAAGTTTTTACAAAGTGGCTACATATAAAATATTGTAATTGTTAATATAATTTTTTTAAATATAAGCGTATTATAAACGGGCTTGATGTGTTTTATTTTTCTCTCTATTTTTGATTTTTTAAATAACCTTTACTTGGAGAAATACTCATAAGGGTTATTGAATTATTTGATACAACCATGTAGTGTAGTCTTCCCGATAATCTATATTTTCAATCAATAAAAGCACAAAATAGTAACCACAGAGTACTTTGTAACATACTGAAACATGTTAATGTAACACGAAAATTTGCTAGAAAGCATTCGTAACGTCAGCAACAACATTCATATTACATTTGCGTTATCGTCAAAATCACCGAACAAATCCTATACTAATTTTGTCGACGTTACGAATACTCTCGTAAATTTCCGTGCTATCATTAGGATTGTTTCTTAATACGATATCTACCATAGTACTAGTGTCTAAAACTAAATGGTAAGCGCCCTAGGTAGAGAAATAAGCTGAATTTGAATTATTCTTTAAAATTATTTGGGGATAGAATGAACGAAAATTAAAAAAAAACTCAAATTGGTAGGAAAATAAAGAAGATAGTTAACCTTAACAAAAGCCTTAATTATAAACAGCAATTATAGGATTAAACACGAACAACGGGTACAAAGTATGGTCAACGATGTCCTATTGGTTCCTAATACGAATTCAACCTCAACGGCGGATCCAGGGGGCATGGGAGTGATGAGCCTCCCCCCTGAGCTAGTTGGTCAAGAGCTTGACATTATTTACATATTTTGTCAAGTTCTTGACTCGACCTAACATCAGGTACGAACCGAGCCACTTACTAAAATCTGTTTGTATATTCGACGAAGTGTAAATGTACAAAATTAAAAATTATTAAAGTATGGTCAATTCCTATTCTCGTGTTGTGAGGTTACCCTTTGTTCTATAAACTAGTAACCTAACTAAAAATATCGCGCACCGGTCACTGCAATCAATAAACTGTGATCGGCTCCCGGCGATATCAGAGGAGAGGGCGACCCACACAAAAATTGTCTCCTATACATATGTTATTCAACAATTTCGCAGAAATATTGGTTTGTACCGGTTTCTTTTAATTTGACGCAAAAACACAAATTGTAAAGGATTTTTTCGAAATAAGCACTAAATTAACCACTTTTTAATAAAAAAAAAAGTGTTATGCGCATTGTAACATTTTTTTTATTGTTTTTTAAGATAGTTCATGTGTGATTCATATGATCATCGTAGTTCAAGTAACAAAAACAGAGTCAACGAATGGAATTGCATTCAGGTGACCTGAATAAGACTCGTTACAAAATAAACGGGTCGATGACTACTACATATATCTAGGCAGACGAATGACGTCCAGCTTATATACCTGGTACATAACGATATAAGTAATCGATAGTGTGTATATAGCCCTGTCCCGGCCGTCGGGCGGCGCGGTGCGGCGTGTCCGATGCCTACCAGCCGTCGCATAGCGTTCAAGGATTATAGAAATGGACAGAATTTGGAGTAGGCTATTCAAATTAGAATTTCTACGGCGTTCACGTATTTTATTATGTTCAGTATTTATTGAATTATAACTATAATATAAACTAGAAATACTAATCTTCTACCGATGAAAGATTTCTCAAACCGTCTGACACAGCTAGTGGCACAGCAAACTAATAAACATAAAAATATTACATATATAATTTCGTTCCATGTATCTCTGTCGAAAAATCAGTCTAACAACATTTATCTAACCTTCGATAGGCTTTTCTCATTTAAATTAATTAATAGTTATTTAAAATAAAAAATAACAATTTTATCGATTGGGATATCGATTTTTAACCATAGATCATTGACTTATTTAGAATAGTCTATTGATCTCAGCTGTCATTGACATTTGGTGTACTTGTACGCGAATCAGTGTATATTTATCTTGCTTAAGAATGTTGGTTTCAAAATTTTCAAATATAACAATTGCATAATCATTTAAAGTTGAACATAAGGATATTGTAAAAGTTCTATACGTTTATAATATGTGACAGAATTACCAAACGTACATGACATCTTATCATAAGTGTAAAGTAATTTTACTCAGCCATGGTGTCACCCATAAATCTCCAAGAAAAATATAACAAAGGTGTGCAGGTAAATCTAAATTATATTAATAAAATTTTGTGAGTTTAATTAAATGATTTATATTGTTTCAGTTAGAAAAAGTTTCTGTTTCTATTTGGACATCCAAGATCCTGGGCTATCTCGATCTATATCGAGGAGGTTACAAGACATGGGTTTGGTAAGTAGTAATATTTCTAAATCATAATATAAGATTATAATATCAAAATAAAAAAAAAACATTTAGCTAACTTGTTGGTTATAAATAATTTTACGAACGTTATCTACGGTTACCTTGTGTTTGGTTATCCTTTATTTTGTCACATTATTACAGTTTCGTTATAAGCATGTTTTGTTTTAAAATTTTGAGAAGTTGTAATGTAATTTTTTAAAACAATTGAAAGACGAAAAGAAAATTCAAGTCGTTTATATTAGTGATTTATTAACCAAGTTGTAAATACTTAAATTGTCTGATTTAAATTTAAATTAAAATAAAATTTGCATAAAAATTGGATTGGGAGAGTCAAAATGGAACGGTTGTAGCGAATCAGCCAATGAAATGTAACCAGACAACTAGCGCCGCCGGTGAACGAAAGGAGAACTAAATAAATATCTCCATCTTGTGTGACAGATTTGTGTTTGTTGTTGCTTTCACGAATTTATTTGGCAAATGTTGATAAAACACAGTAAACACTATCGTAATTGTGTGTTAAATTATTTTCAAGTGCATAACGTACTCGGTGATATAATTATGTTTCTTATGTTCAACAATACAACATAAAATCACCAGTGACGAAGTGGACGTCTCAGTGACTAGTATATAGTTACTTATTTTTGTGATAAGCGGCGCGCGGGGGCCTCGCGGACGGCTTTTGTGTAAGTATATGCCTCATACGATACCTATATGAGAATACTGATATAATGGTTTTGTCAGGATTGCATAGAAAATAGTTTTAAACTGTACTCTCCTAGTGAGTAGTTAGGCGCGTAGTCAGCGTTTGATTTTAGGTCATCTTTTGTATGCTCGCGTTACAGCCGCCACCGTAACGCAAAATGCAGCGGCCCGAGGCCGCGCGCCGCGCTCATACGAGCTGCGTTGCACTACATCCATTTAAAAGTCGTTTTAAATGTAGTTTTCTTTAGCTTACCCGTGTGTATGCTTAATTTTTGACAGTTGATATGGCTTTCTAGATGTCAAAGAGTTGTGTTTCTTAAGATTATTAGGCTAGGGGCTAGTTTTGTATAAAGATGTTTAGATGTTATTTTTTTGCGCGGGACCGTTGGCGCGCTCGGCGCGATGCTTTGGGCCAGCGTCCGTATTACTGAGTGTATTTCAAGGAAATCTCGACGTGTATGTGGCGTCGATAATCTCGCGTTCACTCGCTCCCGCCTCACGGCAAATTATTTCCTAGTACACATTGGTACAATTGTCGATCTTGTAATTTCGTCGTCGAATATTTTTCGTCCGTGTGTTCGTAACAAAAACACCTTAGTTGCAACATGCATTTTACGTTTTTGGGTCAACTTGTTTATATTTTGCTGACTTTCACATTGTACTCACAGTTTTAAAGTGACTATTGACAGTTCTTAAAGTTACCTCATGTATTAAAAACCTGTTTAAACAGTGATAACAATTTCACTGCTGACAACACCAGTTTGTTAATTCACATTTCTAATTAAAAAACCTAACATTCCAATAATTGTGATAGATATTATTATTATTAGAAGGTAGTTAATAAAATACTGTCATAAGTCATTTTTTTTTACAAATCTAAGCATGTTTTAATAAACTTTAAGTTTTTGATACTTTTTCATTTGTATTTGTTGTTTCAAATTCATAGTATAATTATTGTTTCTTGCTTTATCTACATGTGAAATTAAGATTTTTATAAGTAAATATTTAAAAGGTTAATTATTCAATTGTTAATATTATTCTTATGTTAATTTTTATTTTACTTGTATTATTAATGTGAAAGTTTAAATAAATGAATAGATGTTTCTTATGTTATGAACTCAAAGGATCTCGCTAAAATTTTCTTAGATGTAGAATATAGTCTGCAGGTACACATAGCCTATGTGTTGACTAAACTTTTTAATTCTGCCAAGTTAAAATGATAAAAACCTGATAGGTAACCTGTAGGGTCAAACACACTGCAGTAACAAGACACAACAATAACATTCTTAAAAAATAATAGCTTTTGCTCCATGACTGGTCGCACAGATTAAAAATAAAACTTAAGATGAGTCCCTATGCATTCTTCCAAATTATGTTCTATATCTGAACAAATTTCATCAATATTCGTTAAACTATTTTTGGGATATAGTAACAAACATCCTCAAACTTTTGCATTTATAATATTTCAATAAGATATTAAAGTGGATAATGTAGGGAAGATGATGAGTTCAGTAAAATAGATGTATTCTTAATGTGGTTTCATTTTATTAGTAGTAATTGGTAAGTTTTCCAGCGCGAGGAAGTGTTCCTGACGCCTAGCGTGACGCACGTGGTCGCGTCCCGTGTGCCGGTGAGTGTCCGTGGCACGGCGCGATGCGCGCGGCGTGAGGGGCGGGCGCGCGCCGATGCCATGCTGCAGCGGCTGCGGCCGGAGCCCCAGCCTGCGCCCCCGCTCACGCACGCCTATGTACACCTCACAGTACAAAAGGTACACCTCTATGCAGACATTTTACCAATATTAACCAATTCCAATATTTGTAATATAAAATTTTATATTTATGCTATTTTAAGCTTATACTAATTCTTATGCATCTATCACTCTTTATTTCTTTTCTATCTCTTATCCCTTTTCTTTCTTTTTTGTACCTTATATATTTTTACAGCATATTTATTAAACTTTCAGGCTATAAGTCTATTGGATAAGCTATATGACACATTCTTCACGGCACCGCGTAAAACGCATGTCAGGCTCTTCAATAAACATTTTATCAAGATTGAGTTTTTGGACAAGTATGGACAAATTTAGATTGTGTAGTATATCATTGTTAATTTCATGATTCTCGAGAAAACTTATATTTCTGTCTTAAATTCCAGGCTGTGCAGACCCGTTTTCAAGGAGTTTGATGAATGGCCACAAATATCTTTGGAGCCTGATCCTCCTAAAGTTAAGAAAGAAAAAAAAGACTCATTAGAAAATCTCACTAATACAATTAAGAATACCCCAGGTCAGAAGTAAGTGCCAGCTAAACATTAAATTATTTTAAAATTGCATTAATATTCTAATTAGAATTTTTAACATTTCAGAATGACTAGAAAAAGTCGGCCTCGAATAAAGGACAAGGAGGAAAAGGAACCAAAGGGTGGTTATTGTGAAATGTGTAACACGGACTATGTAGATGCGGCGATACATCGGCGATCTCCCCAACACATGGCTTTCGTTAGAGACCATACAAACTTTATCGCACTGGATACTTTGATAAGTTCAGGTGCGGACGTATCCACATTCCTTGATAAAGCCACGCCCGTTAATGGTGAACGTAGGTCTCTGCGGAAACTCTGCAACGGAGATTCGGAACCTAAGACCAAGCGCTCAAAGCGCTCCCAGTCTCCGGACTCTACAATAAATGGTAACAAAAGTCCAAAACGCAATGGTGCTATGGATGATGTTACAAAACGCAGCACCCGGTGCAGCAAGAGGTCCAGCGAGTCTCAGATATCAGAAGGTCGCCAGTATTACAAAGTAGTCGGAGTGAGCACAAAATTGCGTTCGAGCAGCGGTTTCGTAGCAAAAACGAAAGGTTCACCGACAGCTTGTAATGGCACAAAACCACTAGTTGTTAAGTTTAGAAAAATAAGACGTTCAGAAGTGTCTGTTCTCAGTGACGAAGCAGAACAATTTATGTTTCCAAAGCGAGCTAGTTCAACGAGCTCGACATCGTCGGAAGAGCACGAAAGTGACGCGGATGATAAACGGCCAAGGCCGAAAAGAAAAACACCACCACAACCTCCGACAATGAATGATAGACAGAGATTAGCAAGGCCGATAGCTCTGAAAGAAGAATCCTCCGAGGAGGATGGTTGGCCACTGCCTCAGCCTCATAGGAAACGAAAGAAACGAACATCAGTCAGTACTAAAAGAGGAAAAAGGTTGCAGTATAAAAGTCCGGCAGCGGATCCACCACCAAAGCCGCCAGAACCAAAGCAAGCGTCGCCTCCCGAAACCGTCGAGCCCCCAAAACAGCCTGAACCTGAGATAAGTCCACTGAGGGAGGAGCTTTCAGAGAAATGCTTGAAGTGGGAAGATGGCAGACTGAAGTATACTCCTGCTGTAGAAAGTTTAGAGTTCGCCTTTGAGTCTGTACCACATAGTGAGCCATGGTTCGAAACATTTAAGCGTCAAGACCAAGATAAAGTATTAATAAAGAATTTGCCACAGTATTTTGGTATGTGTGTTCTTTTTACACAAGTATTGTTATAATTTAGTCAAAATTTTAATCATTTAATTTTTTACAGCTTTATATTCTAGATCTCCAAAGTTACCATATGAAGTTGGTCAGTTACCAACATTGAAACCAAAATGTCCACCGCTCAGCGACTTAGCGAAGCAAGAAGAGAAGCCCGGACCCTCGCGGTCTTATGGCACGAGAGGTATGAAAAAGCAGAGGATTAAAAAGCGTACACTAGCATTAATGGCGTTAGAACATCCTAGGAAATCGCCAAGGGAACACGCATCTACATTAGCAATACTCGGGTCTGCCGGACTGCTGCATCGGCGGAAACACGCCGAAGATGCAAAGTCCACAGCTTCCGAGGACACAATCAGTGACACTCACAGCAACACTAAGCTGGAACCGATTCAATCTGAAAGCCAAGAAGCCTCCGAGAGGATGCAGCAGTTCTTGTCGGAAGTGTTCGAGGACGCGGCCGAGTACGACGTGTCCGATGACGTCATGGAGGGAAACACGACCGTCACCACCTCCACTAACATTCCAGATGTCTCCAGCTTAGTCTCCGAATGTGAAAACTGTGATATCATTAGGAATGAAATTAAGCAAAGCTCTAACACTGAGGTTAAGAGTAAAAGGGGTAAATTTAAGAAAAAGAATAAAACCGGATGGCCCAGCAAAAGAAAACAAGTGAGAAAGAATTCTCGAAATAGCAGCATGGAGACTGAAAAAGCGGAAAGCTTAGATGCGTCTTCTATAGAACCGCCTGATGATGAGACCACACAGGATACTATTATTGAAGATCATAGCCTTTCAGAAACTGAAAAAAATGATACAGTAATAGAAAATACGGCTAAATCTGATAATGAGTCGGAAGAAAGAAAAACGAATAAGGTTGAAGAGAAAGAATGCAAGCGGGCATCCCGATCATCCGCGTCGGAAACGGAGGAGAAGGATAAAAATATCAAAAAGAAGCGTCCACAGCTTGCTATAGGAGACTGGCTGCAGCC